TCGAATGGAGAGCTCTAGTGACTCAATCTTGTAACATTTCCTTTATTTGGTAAATAAGAAATAAACATTTCTGCTGGAAGGTCCCAGTAGAATAGCCTGTGAAAATAACAGGAAGCACTCAGCCCCATAATTGTGCCTCTTAATGTGGCATGGGGACATTTGTCACTCGCATCCACTTCCCTTTGTTGCCCGCCCCAGATGTTACAGGAAGTCCAGTCAATCTTGTGGGAAATTAAGCAGCAGTAAGATTCAGCATTTGTCCTGGTCTAGACTCCAGTATTGATCACAGAGCAGACAGATTGGAGGGACGAGGTGGAGTGGCCTTCTTGTGCCTTAGATATAAATGCAAATGCTCAGTGGAGAGTGACCTTTAACGAATGAAAATCTACTTTGGAAAGAAGAACATCTGTGACTCTTTTGAAATTATGTGTTAATGGACAGCTAGATGTCCCCTTCTCAGCTTCCTCTGATTCATTTAAGGAAACTCCCAAGAGCCCACTAACAGGTTTTTGTATGCTTCTCACTGATGCTTGTGATTCAAGTGTTTCTCAAGTTCAAACGTGGGTCTTTTTCTTGCTAAAGTTCAAAGTGTCCAAACTGTAAAAATAAGCCACAATGAGTGACCAAAATGGAGACTGCTAAAAACTGTGTATGGTAAAGTGAACATATCATCACCTCAGGAAATTGTGTCTCATAAAATTAAGAGGCATCAGCATAGCAGAATGACATCTGCCATGTCCTCGTTCTACAACTGTGTCTTCTTGAATTCTCTTGGTCCTAATCTTCTCATTTATATGATAAAAATACTTTTTTGTATATTTCATAAATATCATGTAACCTTCCGGAATGTAGTCGCTTTCTACAGTAATAATTATTTCCTTAGAATTTGTATAAAATGTCTTGCTCTCAATAAAAGTTTTGAGGCTTATATCAAGACAGAAAATTGATTACTGAAATGTGTGAATTGCTCTTTTCTCATGATTTCATTACTAGTGTGGACCTTTAAATATGTCATTCTTGCCTAAGGTTGAATCAGTTTGGTAAATTCCAGATGCAAAGTATTAGAACTACAGTTCTCAATCTAGTTATCCTTACGTTGTTAATATTATTTCTTTAGCAAAGTTGTCAATGATTATTCTGCACTTACTTCCAAAACTCACAGAATGTATTACATGGTAAGAAATCTTAACTTTCATGGGGAATTATTTTCAGAACCTGCACGGGCAACAAAATCTACAAATACTCATGTTTTCTACAAAAAATAGTAGCATACTTGCCTACAACCTGCACACATTCTCTCATATGCTTTCTAACTTTCTTTCTTTCTTTCTTTCTTTCTTTCTTTCTTTCTTTCTTTCTTTCTTTCTTTCTTCCTTCCTTCCTTCTTCCTTCCTTCCTTCCTTCCTTTTTTCTTTTGTATTTTAGTACAAGGTCTACAGGGTTTCACTATGTAGATCAGACTCAGTGATCCACCCGTTTTCAGCCTCCCAAGAGCTAGGATTACAGGTGCGCACCGCCATGCCCAGTCTCAATTACCCTCTCGGTGTGCCCCTGGGGAAGGGCCAGCATGACAGGTCTTGGATAGAATCTCTGGCCACTGTGTTTGCCTAAGCAGGAGCTTTATTCTGCCAAGCGATTTGACCAGCCCTTTCATATGTTTTAAAGCACTTATTGTTCATTTAGAATACCTAATATAATGTAAACACTATGGAAATACTTATTATGCTATATTGATTAGGAAAGAAAAGAAAGTTATACATGTGGTCACAGGACTTTTTCAGAGGTGGCTGAATCTAGAATGTGTGATGCTGGGGTTAAGTAAATGAATGTGACGAGTAATTCATTCTACTCATTGGCTTGACATAGTCCTGGCTAAAAATCAGGGTGTGAGTGCTATACCTGTTCTAGGGTGGGTAGCCTGCACGCGATATAAGGGACAAAATGGTTTGTCTCCCTCTTGCTTCTGCTGGTTTCTGGGTGCTCTAAATTTTTCTCTGCCAAGCCATCTTACCTTAGAGCCAGCCAATTATGGACTGAAATCTCTACAAACTGAGAGATAAATAAACCTTTCCATCTTTAACTTGGGTGTTGGCTACGTTGTTCCAGCAATGAGAAAAGCAAATAAGGCGGAGAAAACATATTAGCTATAAAAGAATACAATTAAAAATTGATTGTTTAGGGTCAGCCAAATAGCTCAGCAGATTAAAGTGCCTGCAAGCAGGTGCAGGGGCTGAAGGGTTTGATCCCCGGGGCTGTCATTGCAGCCTCAGCCCTGGGGTGCGCTGAGATGGCAATTGAGACTGGGCATGGTGGTGCGCTCCTATAATCCCAGCTCTTGGGAGGCTGTAAACAGGTGTATCACTATGAGTCCAGTGTAGTAATGAGACCCTGAACACTCTGTAGACTCTTCCCTAAAATACAAAACAAACAAACAAACAAAATTCACTGTTTAGAGCATGATGCTGACACATTCACCGCATGGTTCTCTGGAGATCTGTGACACTCTTGGATAACTTTCTGCCACAGTGGCTGGTGATCTCGGCCTCTGACAGATCATGATGCCACCACATGCAACGTGTGACCTCAGTGATCCCTGGATGGAGGAGATGTGGTGGACTAACAGCTGGCGGTCGACTCGTAACTCCCGGCTGCACTGAATCAGCTTTGTTTGGGGTGTGGAGGACCCATCTGAGGATCAGTGCCAGTAACATGAAAAGAAAAACTGCAAAAAGAGGAGAGGAAGGGTTGTTGGAGTGGGTTCTCCTGGAGGAGCTCGTTGTGCTGGCTTTCCTGATATAAACTTGGCTGTTCTTGTCAGAGGAGCTCGGCACCTCACTGTTTCTGAGGGTGGCTGTGGTGCACTTTGGGGCATCGCTGGTCCTTACCTTGAGTATTGTTTCCTGTGTGCAGTGCAAATCCTTCAGCCTGCTTCCACAGATCTTTCAGCCTGCTGGCCCAGACTTTCCAGCTTCCACCTTGAGCTTTGGGCCTTCCCAGCACAGATCCATGAAATGGACTCATGTGAGACATTGTCATGGACTCTAGACCACAAGGGGAACTTGTTCAGGACACTGCAAGGGTATGCAGGCCCTCAGCTGAATTTCCTGGATCTCTACTATGTGGACAGATCTCCAGTACTCGTTTGTATTTGACTCTTTGGGTGACTGTTATAAAAATAGTCCTATAAATTATGTGTCCTCTGTTTCCCTTGCAAAACCCTGATTGCACCAGAAGAATAGCTAATAAATTATTTTGCCAGACTTCAACTTAGCATATACAACTTCTACCCTTACTCTATTGTCCTTTATACAGGTCAACATTAGGAAGGAAAGATAGGAGGTATGGTCTTTCTGGGTGTCCAGGATGTGGAAACATGCTCAGTGAGCATCTTGCCAGACTGCCAAAATCGACTTGAAGGAAAATAGGTTCATAGTTTTTCAGACTCTATGTTTAAATAAATTTTCTTTTGCAGATCATGCTAATAACTAATGAGTTTCCATATGCAAACTTGCCTAAGCACTAATTTTGTTAACTTGATGAAGACTTCTGTCCTGCTGATCCTTTGAGTCCTGTCTTTAGTAAATGGTCAAATACTGCATTAAAATCCTTTATACATTCTAAATTCTGGAGAAACCTCCTATTCTTTAGGGTTCAATGCTCAAAGAATTAATTGGCATATAAGGCTACAACAGGAATTATTTTCCATCCAAAAGAGAATGCAGGGTATGAAATCAGAAGGAAAGTGATTATTAATATATGAGCAAGCTTCGGCAGTGCATCACAAATGAAGCAGAAAAGAATTTTTTCTTGAACAGAGGAAAAGTACTATTTTGAATTTTGTAAAAGGTAATCAAAGAATACCATGCTGAGTCCAATGTGTGAAAGTTGTAAAGAATTACCCAGCTTTTCATTTCACTGGCATATGGTTTATAAAGGGATGGCTCTTTATTTTACTGGGCAATACAAGGAAATCAAACGTAAGAAGGAAAAATGCAAAGAACAGCTGGAGAAAAAGGTAACATAGCTGAAGAAATATTCACCTGTTGGTGGTGTTAGCAGCTAGAAATATGCAAGTTAATAATGCTCATCACAAAAATTTAAAATAATATAGAGTTCTTGAAAGACTATGGTCTCATGGATTAACACCCAGAGATTCACTGAAGAATTAATGTTGACTACTTTATCCCTGCCCCCCATGGCAAGCATTTGTAGGAAAATGATTGCACCTTGAGACAATAATGTTAAGTGAAATCAACATTTCACTTTAGCTCCCAGAGCACGCTAAAATGATGGTGGAGACTGAGTGTTGTAGTGCATGCCTATAATCCCAGCACTTGGGAGGCTAAACACAGGAGAATCACTATGAGTCTGATCTGTGTAGTGAAACCCTATAGACCCTGTACTAAATATGTTTTAAAAAAAAAGGTAAAATGAAAGCTACAAATATACATAAGAAGAAGTAGAAAATAGAGCTTTCTCAGATTTGAAGAGGAACAAGGGATGGAGAGAGGGAACGAACAGAGGAGGGAAGGGGACAGGAAAAAGAATTCAGATGAATTCTGTACATGTGCCAACTCCACATAAGGAATGTTAACTAGCTATGGATAACATGCTTATAACAAAGTGGTCTTCCACATCTCTTATCCTCAGCCATAAAAATCAAAAATACTTTGGATAAATGTTATCCCATAAGTCAAGCTCTCTGAATGAGGAAGTCGGAAAGGAAAGCCTCAGTCCACTCACTAAACTTGTATGTATGCTGGGAGTGACTGAGGGACTGATTTTCTTAAACTGTCAAAAATACTAAATATAAGGGAGTCGGGCTCTAGGCTGAGTGAGGTGTGGGTCTCCGCGAGTTTGGTCGGAGTCCATTTGTGATTCTGGGACGCGAAAGGACTCGAGTCTGCTGCCCCTTGTCGCCGTGCGTGTTTCTCAGCGTCTCTCCTCACTTAGCGCTTGGGCTCGCGGCCACCTCGTTCAGAGTGGCTCCCGGGTCCGACCCCGGGCGGACGGCTGTCACTGCGCTTTAGGCCGGATGAAGCCCAAGAAGCTGTTGCTGCTGCCCCCGCTGAACCCGTACTCCGCCTTCCGCGCCCCACGAGCCCATCCCGCAGCCCCGCCAGCCTTGAACGCCGCCCGCACAGGCTACCGCGTCTTCTCGGCCAACTCCACGGCCGCCTGCACGGAACTGGCCAAGTGCATCACCGAGCGACTTGGTGCTGAATTGGGGACATCTGTTGCATACCAAGTGACCAACGGAGAAACAAGAGTTGAAATAAAAGAATCTGCTCGTGGCCAAGATATTTTCATTACACAGACAATACCCAGAGCTGTGAATACAGCTGTGATGGAGCTACGGATCATGGCTTATGCACTGAAGACTTCCTGTGCCCGGAACATCGTCGGAGTCACCCCCTACTTCCCCTACAGCAAGCAGAGCAAGATGAGGAAGAGGGGTTCCATGCTGTGCAAGCTCCTGGCGTCCGTGCTGGCCAGAGCGGGTTTAACTCACATTATCACTGTGAATCTTCACCAAAAGGAAACACAAGCCTTTTTCAGCTTCCCCGTGGACAACCTTAGAGCCTCATCTTTCCTGCTTCAGTACATCCAGGAAGAAATTCCAAATGACAGAGATGCAGTCATTGTACCTAAATCTTCTGATGCTGCAAAAAGAGCTCAGTCGCACGCAGAGAGGCTGCCTCTGGGGTTGGCTGGGATCCATGGGGAAGCTCAGTGCGCTGAGCTGGACATGGATGATGGTCGTCATTCTCTCCCAATGGTCAGAAACGCTACTGTGCACCCGGGCCTGGAGTTGCCATTGATGATGGCCAAAGAGAAGCCACCAGTAACCGTAGTTGGAGATGTGGGAGGACGCATCGCAATCGTAGTGGGTGACGTTATTGATGATGTTGAGAGTTTCGTTGCTGCTGCGGAGATCCTAAAAGAGAGGGGTGCTTACAAGATCTATGTTATGGCCACTCACCGCATCCTGTCTGCGGAGGCCCCCCGCCTGATTGAGGAGTCCTCCATTGATGAGGTCGTGGTGGCGAATACTGTCCCTCATGAGATCCGGAAGCTGCAGTGTCCCAAGATAAAGACTGTGGATATCAGTTTGATTCTTTCTGAAGCAATCCAGAGAATCCACAATGGAGAGTCCATGGCCTGAATATACAGCTTCATCACAGCTGTATTCACATCTCTGGATATTGTCTGTATAATGAAAATATCTTGGCCACGAACAGATTCTTTTATTTCAACTCTTGTTTCTCCGTTGGTCTCTTGGTATACAACAGATGTCCCCAATTCAGCACCAGGTCGCTCGGTGACGCGCTTGGCCAGTTCAGTGCAGGAGGCCGTGGAGTTGGCCGAGAAGACATCACAGTGAATGACTAAGTAGCTGTCACACTAGTGCCCTGAAGGAGCAGGAGCGAAACATGTACAGACCGTGCCCTCCGTCACACACACACAGTGTTTGTCTGCAGCGATGGAATGGAAATAGTGTGGAGCTAGGTATTTCTCTTGCCAAGCTTCAGTAGAGGGGACGTTCAGATAGTAAAAAAGACCAAGCTAGTGATAAACAACATAACCTTAAATGTCTGCCATCGCAGCCTCTGCAGAAGTTACAGATACTCTGCTGGAAAGCATCGGAAAGTTGTCACATTGAAGAGGAGTTAAAAGCAGATAAAGCGTTCTCTCTGCGATGTTCATTCTTCTGTTTCAGCTCCCGAGAATGCAGGTGTGGTGTTGAACTTCTGGGGAGCGGAGTGCCCCCGCCACTTTCTGTCCAGTTGTCCTCTACCTAGTTAAGTTCACCTAAGTTTTCTGTAGCAAAGCCTATTTTTCTTTCAGAAACTGCCAAGCCTACTGCCATGGAACAGCAAACCATTATATTTTTGTTTCTCTTGGGGTTATCACACTGCAGGCCATCCTTGGGTGTCTGTGTCACTGTAATTGCAAATAAAAGAATTTATAGTCAAAAAGATACTAAATATAGTCAGTAGCAAATGAAAAACAGCCTCTTTGATTTTCAAATATTTTTAGCTTTATCATTTGAATACATATTCATCATATGTATTGACTACATTTGTCAGAGAAAATTTGTAGATGTATATGACATATCTTAATTTTTCTTTCTGCTTCCTATTTCTCTCCCCCAACTCTTCTTCTTCACCCTATTTACAGAAGCTTTGTTTCTATTTCTTCTTCCATTCTATTTTTCATCCTTTTCTATTCCTTCTCTTCCCCAGCCCTTCCTTTGTTCCTCTTTGCATTTGAAAATAGTCTCCCTACTTTCCAATACCTAAGTTCCATTATGCTCTTCATTCACTCATTAGGCTTCTTGGACAACAGGTACAATGAGGTATTTAAACTCAGTGATTTATTTCTCTTAACATTATTCTAAAAGTGGATCACTTTCCATACAAAAGATTCAAGTCCATTCCTTCTTTATGGTAGAGGAGTGCTCCATTATATATATATAATATATATATATATATATATATATATATATCACTTTTTCTTTATTCACTCATCTTTTGGTAGACATATGGGCTGTTTGAAAAATTTAATTATAAATTTTTCTGCTATAAACGTGGGTATGTATACATCACTGTGGTGTGAAGCTTTTAACTCTTTTGGGAGACGCCAAGAAAGGAAATATCTAGATCAAATAAAATCTTTCCTTTTAAGGACTCTTTTTTTTTTTTTTTACTTTTTTTGTATTTTATGGAAGGTTCTACAGGATGTTCAGGGTCTCACTACTAGATTGGACTCACAGTCATTCTCCTGTTTACTGCCTCTAAAGTGCTGGGATTACAGGTGTGCACCACCATACCCAGTCTCAATCACTGGCCCAGCGTGCCCTAGGGGTGGGGCTGGCACAGCAGACCCAGAGATCAAACCCCCAGCCCCTGTGCCTGTTTGTAAGTGCTTTAATCCACTGAGATATTTGGCCAGCCCAGGACTCCTAATACTGTCTTCCACAGTGGTTGTACCAGTTTACATTCCCACCAATAATGGAGAAGAGTTCCTCTTTCCCTACAGCCACATTGCCATTTGTTATTGGTTGATTTCTTGATGGTAGCTGTTTCTTCTACACTAAGGTGGAATCTCAGCATTGTTTTGATTTCCATTTTGGGAATAGCCCAAGATTTTGCATATTTTCTATGCTTATTTGTTATTTCCACTTCTCCATATGAGAAATATCTACTCATTTCAAATGGCCATTTTTGGATTAGATCTTTAAATTTCAGGGAGATCTGAATTTTGAGTTCTTTATATATTCTAGATATTAATGCTTTGGGAAATACCTGGTAAAAATTTTTGCCCATATTGTGGGGTATGTCTTCACTCTGTTGATGGTCTCTTTTGCTGTCTAAAAGCTTTTTAATGTGATGAAATCCCACTTGTTGATTTTAGTATTTCCTATGTGACTTATTTTTTTTCGTATTTTTTCTTTGCCTACACCTGTCTTCTACACCTATGTTTTATGTATTCTGTCTTCCAGCATGTTGAGTATTTTTGTTTTACATTTATATCTTTGACCCATTTGATTTTAGCCTAGTGAATAGTGAGAAATATGGGGTCTAGGTTTATTCTTCAACATGTAGATAGCCAGATTTTTTAAGGTCCATTTTTTAAAAAGACTATCTTTATTTCAGTGAACGTGTTTGGCCCCTTTGTCAAAGGTAAGGTAGCTGACTGTGGTTAGTTTTACTGCACCTTCTATTCTGTCTCACTGATCCTCAGGTCTGTTCTTTGCCAGTAACAAGTTGTTTTTTCCTACACTTTTGGTTGTTCTAGGTCTCTTCTGGTTCCATATGAACATTAGGATTGTTTTCTCTAGTTCTGTGATATATTTTATTGGTGCTTTGATTGGTATTGGGTCTAGGGCTAGGAAATCTGCTGAAGCTATTCTACTTCATCATTTATCATTAGTCCTAAAAAAGGTAACGTTTAAGTTTATTCTCAATATAGACTATTCATAATAGTTTAAGAATAGCATTGTAAGTTTATTTAGATAATTCCAACTTAGTTACACTGATGCCTTGAAAACAAATTTTATTTGCAGTTAAATAATATAGCAAGGTTTTACGTTAGGTATGTCTCAGGTTTTGTGATCGGAATTAAATGGTCATGGCTTGAAAAAAAAAGGATTTTTCTTTGACTGTTGAGATCATCATGTGGCTTCTTTTCCTGGTTCTATCCATATGATGTATTACATTCATGCACTGGCTTATGTTGAGCCATCCCTGCATCCCTGGAAACTTACCTAGCCATGATGAATAATCTCCTTGCTGATTGGCTGCTTTCTGTTTGCCAGTATTTTATTGAGGATTTTTGTGTCTACATTCATTAGGGAAATTGGTTTATTATTCTCTCTCTCTCTCTCTCTCTCTCTCTCTCTCTCTCTCTCTCTCTTTGGATTCTTCTCTGGTCTTCAGAATGAGGTAATGCTTGCTTTCAGGAATGAATTTGAGAGCATTTATGCTCTTTCAATTTTATTAAACAATCCTAAAGTTTTTGTATAATTGAACAGTGAATCTCTAAGGACCTGGGGTATTCTTTGCTGGTATTTATTTTTTAAATTACTTCTTCAATGTAATTGACTGATACTGGGCTATTTAGACTGTTTATGTCTTCTTGATGCATTTTTGTAATTCATATGTATCTAAGAATCTCTCTATTTCTTCTGTATTTTCCATCTTATGAGAATACACATAGTCCACCTAGCCATTGGTCATCTTCTGAATTTCTACATGCACATACACTTCCGATACTGAATAAAATTGTAGTTTTTATATCTCCTGTTATGTCACCTTATAAAAATTCACAAAGATGTAATATTGTACATCTTGTATATAAGTAATTAGACTGCTAAATCATTAATCTTTCAAAGAAACAGCACTTCAATTTATTGATTCTTTATACTGTTCACTTAGTCTCAAGTGCATTCATTTCTACTCTGATCTTTATAATTTCTTCCCTTGTAATTGCTTCAAGTTTAACTTGCTCTTCTTTTTGTAGAAGCTTGAGATTCAACACTAGGTTATTTATTTGAGCTCACACCATTTTTCTGAAGTGAGAAGTTGCTACTATAAATTAGACTCTTATGACTGCTTTCATTGTATTCAATAAGTTCTGGCATGTTGAATCAGCATCATCATTTAGCTGTAGAAACTGTATAATTTCTTCTGCAATTATATCTGTGACCCATTGGTCGTTAAGGAGCCTCTATTTAATTTCCATATGTTTATGTACTTCTTATGATTTCCTTTGCCACTTATTTCCAGTTCCATTTCACTATAACCTGATAAAATGCATGGTATAATTTCAACTCACTTTCAAAAATTTTATCATGTTCTCTGAGTTAGTATATGATGTATTTTGGAGAAATTCACATGTACTACAGAGAAGAACATATATTCTGTTGTCTATCGGTGGAACAATATGCAGATATTTACAAAGTTCATTTGTTCAGAGGTTTGATTCAGTTCTGTTATTTCTTTGTTGATTTTTTTTTTTGTCTAGTGGATCTGTTTGTGAGAGTATACTATTAGGTCCCCCATTAAACTGCATTGATGTTTATCTGATTTTTCTTATTTATTTATTTATTTATTTATTGTTTTTGTTTTTGTTTTTGAGACAGGTTTTTTTCACATACATTTTATTTATTTATTCATTTATTTTTTTATTTTGACATCAGTTATTTTTATTTTAAAGAAAAAAAATAAAAACAATGGTACAAAATCTCAAAACAAGATTTTAGGAGAGTAACAATGGTTAGTACATTGTATATTGTTACTGCCAAAGTAGTTTCTCGTATTACAAGATATAGGCAAGAAATAATAAATAAACAACATAGGTATAAACCTCTGGGGTTTTTTAAGTCAACAGAAAATGGAAATATACTCTTTAAAGTTTCTAATACTAGAAGATATCATACAATGTCTTTTAAATAAATTGTAAGTAAAAGATACAGTATAAATCTTAGAACAAAAATTAAGATTAAGCAATATTCAGAAAATTAAATGTTTCCAAACAATTGAACTCAGAATATGTGATTTTTCATTAGTGATCATATATATATGCTATCTTTTCCCATAATCAATATGTATTTCCCTTTTCTGTCTCTTCTGATCAGTATTGGCTTGAAATCCACTTTGCTGCAAATGGAATAGTTATCCTGACTTTTTCCAGGTTTCTGTTGCATAAAATATTTTTTCTATTCTTTGCCATAAAGTGTGATAATTTATTTTTGAGTTAAATATATTTATTATATGCAGTATATTGCCAAAATATGCATACAATATACTGTTTCTGGATCTATTTGCAATACATTTCTTTTGATTGGTAAGTTGAGGTCATTTATATTGATCAACATAA